GTCTCATTTGTGAGCGCTAATCCAAACCGATGCTGAGTGGTCATTCCTTGTCGTATGGGGCCATTATTCCTCCACGTGTGACTGGGTCAGACCCACCCCCACCCCAGCATCCGAGGCGGGGGCATTGGCAGGAAAAGTTGGTGATGTGGACAGCACCTCTCTTGCTTTGCCTCTGTCAGATGTTGAATGCCAGAGTATTCTTCCCTCTTCCCGGGTCACCTGGGGATGACGTGGGTGGAAATCCTGTGGCTAGGTATTTAATGAATAGGCTTTGTCACACACTGTGCCATGCCCCCTTATAGAGATCTTAGAGGAAACGAAAAGGTAAGCCAAGAGAGTAGGACTTATGCGAGGGAAACAGCTGTGAAATGTGGAATTTAATTTCCAAGGGTCGCGCCCTGCAGCGACAAAGCTCAAAGGACTGGGGAGGGCCCGGCATGCCACATGCTGCTTTGATGGAGGCCCCAGCAGCTGACTTACTAATGGGAAGCCATGGTAGGGAAGTAAAGACAATACATGCTATCTGGCCCCCTAAGAGCGTGGATAATCTCCTGATAACAACAACAGGCTCTGCTTCTGCTATTTTGTCCCTCAAAGTAACATGTAAACTGAAGGACATTACAAACCATTTCTCTGAGATCTTTGGGGTTTAGCTAACACTAGCCCATACCTCTTTCTAAAAGGGAAATCACTCACTAAGAGAGTGCTGGTCCAAGGTGCAACGTTCTATACTTTCATACTCCTTACCTAATCTACTCCAAAAGGAAGAAAACAGAAGGGTTTGTATTAGATGTGGTCCTTCTCAGTCTACACATCTGAAAAAAGATTCAATAAAGAGAACAAAAGAGAATAATGAAAGTGTTCCTTACATAGCTGCTCTAGTAATATGAAAAATGTCGGTACAGGATATAAAATAGTGCAGTTAAGGTCTTTTAAATACTGCTCTGGTAGGCTCCTAAAGGAAGGGTTGTTTTATTAAGAGTAATTCTTTCAATTTTATTACCTAGGGCATTATTATATTTTGAAATTTTAAAATAAAAACAAATCAAATATGGTTCTTCCTAACCCTCTCATCTCCATTTCAAAGCAGCCTCTTACCTACATGGGCACCCTCACACGGGCTGCCATATGATTCAGCACTGCAGATGTCACATCAAAGGGAAGGGCTCCCTTCCAGAGAAACAAGTATGGAAACTGTGGAAAGGCATGTGTCTGTGCACTGAAAACAAAAGCTCAATATGAATGTGACCTTTTCTTTAAGTGTCTAAATATCAATAACTAGTGTGGCGAGGAGAGGCTGTGGTGAACAGGTATTGTCATAAACTGCTGTAGGGAATGCAGAACACAAGAGGGTTTATAGTAGATATGGTCCTTCTAAATTATTTTTCAGAAGTACTTTAGAAATATGACTCAGTAATTAAAGCAGTTCCCACCCCGTCTCTCTGGTCCATGACATGACCAGGATCTATCTTCAGGAGACACACAGATACGTGCATAAATATACATACACACATACACAGATGGAAGGCCAGAATCAGAGGGATGGGGTGAAAATCAGAACAGACATATCTCTAACGTGGAGGTTTAATCAGTAATCAAAAATTTCCCAACAAAAAACATCCAGGACCACATGCCCTCCCCATTCATTTCTATAACACTTTTAAAGAAGAATTAACTCCAAACCTTCTTAAATTCTTCCCCCAAATTGAAGAGTAGGTAATACTTCTAAACTTATGAGACCAGCATTACTCTGATACCAAAACCAGAAAAAGATTACCTTAAGAAAATCAAACTATAAGCCAGTCATATCTCTGATGAACACAGGTGTAAAACTCCTTAAAAAATACCAAGAAGCCAAATCTGACATCACATTAAAAGCAGCATACACCACGACCAAGTGGCATTAATCCTTGGGAGGCAAAAAGGGTTCAACATATGAAAATCGATTCCTGTGATACAGCACATTAACAGGAAAATGCCACGAATCACACAGTCATCTCAGCAGATGCAGGAAAAGCACTGAATAAATTTAAAACTCTTTCATGATAAAAACATTCAATAAACTAATAATAAAAGGAAATAACCTCACTATAATAAAGGCCATATACGAAATGCCCACAGGTAACATCATACTTAATGGTGAAAAACTTAATTCCTTTTTGCTAAGAAAAGAAAGAAGCCCAGTCCTCATACTTCTATCCAGTAGAGTGAAGATGTAGCCAGAATAGTATGCAAGAAAAAGAAATAAAAGGCATCTAAAATGGAAAAGGGAAAGTAAAATTATTTCTGGTCACAGATGATATGACTTTATAGTGTACAGAAACCTCTAGAGAGTCTACAAAGGGACTGTTACAATTAAGAAACAAATTCGGCTCAGTTGCAGGACAGGAAATCAGGATATGAAATCAATGTCCAAAAATCAGTTGCATTTCTATTCACTTAACAATGAACAACCTGAAAAGGAAATTAAGAAACACATCTATATACAATAGCATCAAGAACATTAAAGTACTTAGGAAAAAACTTAATGAACAAGGCAAAAAACTTACAATGGAAAATAGACAACAATACTGAAAGAAATTCAAGACACACATAAATGTAAAGACATCCCATGCTTAGGGACTGGCTGACTTAGTATTACTAAAATGTCCACATTACCCACCTACAGAGTTAATGCAACCCTTATTAAAATCCCAATAGCATTTTTTTTTACAGAAATAGTAAAATTCACTGTAAAATTCATATGGAATACAAAGGATGTTGAACATCCAAAGCAATCTTGAGAAAAAACAAATTTAAATACCTCACACTTCCTGATTTCAAAACATATTCCAAAGCTATGATAATCAAAACATAATGTACTGGCATAAAGATGGACATATAGCCCAGTGGAACAGAACAGAGAGCCCAGAAATAACCCTATGCATATAAGTCAATTGTACTTTAAACAGGACACAATGCAGAAAAGATCTTTTCAACAGTACTAGGAAAACTGGGTATTCTCATGCAAAAATGGTGAGATTTCATCCTCATTTTACACCAGATGCAAAAGTCAACTCAAAATGACTTAAATATAAGACTTGAAACTTCAAACTCTTAGAAGAAAATACAGGGGAAAGATTCTCAACACTGACACCAGCAATGATCTCTTGGATATGAACTAAAAGCAATGATACACAAGGGGGACAACATGAAACAAAAAGCTTCAGCCAAGGAAACAGAGAATGAAAAGGCTACGGAAGAGGAGAAAATATCTGAAAACCATACAAATAAGGGATTCATATCTAAAATATATAAGGAATTACTATGACTCAATAGCAAAAAAACAAATAACCTGATTAAAAATGGGCAAAGGATTTGACTAGACATCTCTCCAAAGATGACACACAGATGGCCAACAGGCACATGAAAAGATGCTCAACATCACTGACCATTAGGAAAATGTAATGAGGTATCACCTCACATTTGTCAGAACGGACCTATAAAAATTGTCAAAAATTAGACCATACTAAGTACTGGTATGCCTGTAGAGAAACTGAACTCCTTTGTACTGTTGGTGGGAATTTAAAATGGTTCCAGCCAGTACGGAAAACAGTACAGAGGTTCTTTAAAAAATTATAAGCAGAACTAATATGACTCAACAATCCCATTTCTGGGGTATCTTTATCCATGGGAAGTGAAATCAGGATCTCAGGGAGGTACATGTACTCCCATTTTCACTGCAGCATTACTCACTATAACTAAGAGTGGAAGCCTGATGTCCATGGACAAATGAATGGATAAAGAAAATGAAGGTAATAATGGAATATTATTCAGCCACAAAGAAGAAGAAAGTTCTACCAAATGCTACAATGTGGAGGAAGCTTGCTGACACTATGTTAAGTGAAATCATCTAGTCACAGGAAAGACACCTGCTGCTTGTTTCTATGTAAATGAAGTACTGAAATTAGTCATACTCATAGAAACAAGGTAGAATGGAGCTTGCTAGGAGCTGGGGAAAAGGGAAAATGGGAGACTTGCTGTCCTTTGGGTATTGTTTGTTATGCAAGGTGGAAAATTTCTTGAGACATACTGTACAACATAGTGTTTATAGTAATACTGTACTATGCACTTAAAAATTTATTGAGGGTCTGTCTCATGTTATATATTTTTTACTGCAATGAAGAACAACAGCTCTTCCAATCAGTCACCATGGAGGGCAGTTACTGCCTTGCCCGCTATCAGCCCTAATTCCAAGCTGCCCTTCACATATGGAGCGAGAATCCTCTTGGGCTCTGGAAAGTGGTGTACCTCATTCCGGTTACCACACAACTTTCCCATCTCCACATACACAGAGCTAGGTAGATGGATGCTCCAAGGAATACCCTTCAGAGGTCAAACAGGTAAGCCTGATCCCAAACATGCTTCCCAATTCTGGGATTCAAAGACAGGATCTTGACAGGGAATGGTCTAGTCAAACCCTTACCCAGATAATTTGGAATGTATCTGCATTAAATACCGATGCTTCAGGACTGGAATGAAAATGTTTTTCTAGACTCAGGGAAGACTTAAATGAAGATAAATAACTAAATGAAGAGATAATGTTAAAAAGCAATAAATTGATGAAGGCTATAACTAGTGTCTACAGTATGAATATCCATAGAAACAAGTGCTACCTGCACAGACCACATGGAGTCTAACTTCTCAACACACAGCCAGAATTTCCAATGGAATGTAACTGGAATACAGTTCATCGATGCCCCTGACGTCTTTCTCTCTCACACAAGCACAGAATCTTTTACATATATAAAATATATGACATATTACATATGAATATATATGATTTCCAAAATATTTTTTTCAGCAGAAATAAAAAATATCTAAAAAAGAATTTAGACACTGGTTACACAGTTTTTTGGGTGTTTGATGGGGCCTCTTTGTACAAGGTGAGTATTTTGGGGGTAATCTGTCTAATTATCATTTCATAGAGTTGTATAGACTTTATTATTTACTTATTTTACCTTTTGCAAGTAAAGGACTGTTCCCTTTAGTACAGCATAAAAGGTTTTCCATCCTCGCTTTCCTCTTGGAGCTAGAAAGGAGAAAATAAATGGAAAATGTTATTTGACAGAAATTAGCATTTTAGAAAGAGAACCTAAATGAGCAACGGGCTATGTTTCAGTATTCCTGGTTTATCAGCTACTGAAACTAACCATGAGACAAAAATTTCCTGGAGCCTTACTGTACAACAGGCAGCAGCCTAGAAGTGTTTTCCGTGCATTATCTTATTCAATCCTCACAGTGATCCTGTGAGGTAGGCTTCATTACTCCTGTGCTTTTACAGCCCCGAAGCACAGGGAAGTGACCTGCTCATGGTCGCACCATCAGGAAGAGGAGAAGCAGGGAACCGAGCCCCAGCCGCATGCCTACAGTCTGTACTCTAGTGGAGACCTTAAAGACGCGGAGGGCAAAAAATGCACGTAGGAAATACACACTGATCCAAGAGAAAGCTAAGAAGGCTCAGCTTCCACAGCCTTCACAGCTTTGTCAAAATTCCTAAGAATCATAAGGAGAAAAAGTTTCAGAATATAAAAGCATTCCTCTTGGCATTTCTCCCACATGCCCAGCAACTGGATTACAATTTTCAATATTTAAAGATTATTACTTAATATTAAGTAATTAATTGATAATTTATTAATATTATTATTTACTCATTTACTTCTGTGGCAATGGTAAATCTAATTATCATTACTCTGTGGTGATAATAAGTTTGTTCTTGCTCCCATCCACTGTGACAGCTCTGCAGAGACCTGCTGGCAGCACTATGTAACTCTTCTGTCTGAACGTCTTCCCAGTACAGTGTGCGTGACCTGCGAGCAGGTATCCTTCCTCTTTAGGACTCACAGAACCTGGCACAGTCAAGGCGAGTATGAGGACACTCATCAGAATTCTCCAAACACATTTGCTTTCAGTCCTAACATTCCTTTCATTTATGTTTTCCGGGAATATAGAATAGAATTTCTCTACTGACTTTATAGAAACGTTTATAGACTCTCCTAAAACAAAAGAAGGGATTAGCAAAAAGAGTTGCCTATTTACTCCTAATCTTAATAAAGTTAAAATCTGTAACTGGAAAATTTTTTTACTTGAATGCCATTTTTCTTAACATGTCTATACAAAAAGGTAGGAGGGCTGAACTTCCTCCACCAACCATTTGGCTGCCTGTGGGCCATCTTTACTTAGGAGGCTGATTAAATGTGGAAACGCATTAGCCTTAAACAAATCCTTTAAATATCCTTTGACTCAAGAACAGTTAGGGCTGGGACCTGGGTGAATAGCCACCTACAGAAACAGGCTCCGCTGCCAACACCACACTGACACATCCACCTGGCGAAAAAGGACTCAGAACATCCACTCTGCAGGTTTCCAGGGGAAATAAAAAATCATCCCATCTGTTTCCACTAGGTAAGGTTTGGAAGTGTGTACTCAAAAATCAGTGATTGAAAGAAGTGTATCATAATATCCTTATAAAAAAAAGTGACTACTATAAAGAAGACCACAGATCGTCACATATTCATACAGTAAGAATTGACTGTATTGTTCAGTGGGTGCAACATTCCCACACGGCCAACGTGACAACAGCGTGCAGAGTGACCATGGGCTACAGGAGCTGCTGCTGAGCAGGACCAGAGGCAGCCTGGGTGGTGCAGGCGCCTGAAGGGAAAGCAGATCAGCTGGTTTCTAGCCCTTGTCTAAAACCCATCCTCTCACCTACCAGCCCCTCACTGGGCAACTCCTGAGACCCTCAACCTCCCAGGACTTCAGCTGCTTCATTTGAAGTGTGGATAATCCACATGACTCAAGGCAAAACATGACTGGCCAGGGCTGCACAGGTACTCCAAAAACACCCTTCTGTTGTCCGCAGGAGGCACACAGGCCTGGGGTTCACAGGCTTTCCCAACACCTAAAACTAGTGTAGGGCAGCTGAAGACTCCTTTGAGGTTGTACAGACCTGTTTTCTACTTTGCGAGTAGAAATCTGTGAATCTCCTATCCTATCTATGAATCCATGCACAAGCTCCCAAGAAGTTTTCATGGCCCTTTATTATCACGGTGCTAAGCTTGCTAGAACCTGATGCTAAGATCCCTCCATCTCGGGCCTGACCTCCAGTTGCAGTGGGGACTGGTGCTGTCAGTGAGCACAACCCTGCGCTGCATTCTCTACCTTTCCATCTCCCACAGAAGTGTAAAACTGTATCTTGTTTCAGGTCATTTATAATTTAGTTGTCTAAGACTTACATGAAGCAGCTGATTCTCCTGAGCATGTGGCCAGCACACTGTAAAGGCGCTGCTCTGAGTGATGCTACATCAATGCAGTTAGTCCTCACCACCATGCCGCACATGAGCCACAATCACTGCCTGCATGGTACAAAGGGGACATGGGGTGCTGAGTTGGGAAGCAAGGGGACCACCGCACACTGGTGCAGCCGGAAAGCTCCCAGGAGGCAGGCTCGCCTGCCCTGACTTGGAAGCCACATGCTCAGAGCTGCTACGGCTTCTGCCGCGCAAGATAAATGGGCTGGACACCAATGGATGAGCAGCACTGCTCCTTACAAGCAAGGCTGGCGGTGAGTGGAAACTGATCCCAGAGCACATATATCATTAAGACTGGGAAAGGCTTGTAACTGTGGTTACATAATGACCACCACCCCATGTATCATGGTAGACAGATGTAGTTTACCAAATATCTGGGTGCCTACTGTGAAAAGGTGTTTATTAAACTTGATCTGAAGGTACCATTATCTGCCCTTGACTATGCTTTCATGGCTGTTAATGTGCATGCTTGGAGTCCAAGGATAATTGCTTCCCTTGAAAGTAACAAAGATCTTGTAATACTTCAGTTGTCTGTCTCCTACCTTATATAATAATGGTGTCTGTTATTTTAGTTTTAAAAAAATATTACCAAAGTAGATGCCATTATTTTTCTACAACCTGCCATTGTCTGCTTAGATTTATGCTCATGTTTACTATGACCTTTAAACTTCTTTCTGTTTTTTGTGGGGGGCCATTTTTGACGACTTCTTGAAATCTACACTCAGAAAAGTTCCATTAGTGAGGGTCTTTTGCTGGTAAATATTTTTCTCCTTTTGTTTATATAAAAACATCTTTATTAAAAATTATAGGTTGCCATTACTGTTTCTTATAAAGATATTATTTCCCTATCCTTTGGCTCCCATCATCGTTGGGATGTCTATCTTGAGTCTGTTATGTCAAAGTCCAGCTTCTGTAAGTCGTCCAGCTTGGTGTTCTTTGGCTTTCTGTGCATCATTTTCAAAATTCGCAGCCGTTACTGCTCTGGATATTGCCTCCCACTGGAACGTGGGCATTCTAACTCCTCATTCTGCTCCTCAGGAGTTTTAATCACTCTCCTATTTTCTCCATCTTCTTGTCCTTCTGTGCTAAAACCGGTGTAATTTTATGTGCAGAACTGCGAGGAGGTATATGCACCTAGATGCAGAGATGCCCTGAGGGTTTAGCAGCCCCACAGTTAGCTTACCTCCTGGATTTGTATTCATGCAGGATTCTCTTTTCATGGTTACAGGCACATTCATTCATTTAAAAGGTGTTTAAAAATATTTTATTATTTTTAGAGGTTTTATCATGAAAGAGTTTTGGAATTTGTAGGCATCACATTGCCAAAAATAGACTCCATGGTTTCTTTTTTAAGAGAATTTATCCACAAATTTTATAATCTAGGAAGAATTCATTTGCAGCAGGATACAGAAGATAGGGGCTGAGGACAGGACAAGAGAAAAAGGCAAAAAGGTGGAGAGACATGTACAAAAAATTAAGTCAAGAACTGGAAGGATGGGGAGGCAGTTATGCTAACAGAGCACCTGGAAAACAGCACGCCGGGCTTGGCTAGTCTAACAGACTTTCTGTTTGACCCAACCAATCCTTGAAGTATTAATGCTTCAATTTCACATTAATATCTCCACTACTCATTACATTTGCAGTTCTGAGAGGTAGACTAAGATGCTGACGATTTAGCTACCGAAGGGGCCATTCAGACGAGAAAACCTGTTCTGAGGGAGCTGTAAGAAGGGGACATGGGCCAGGGAGTAATGCACTGCAACAGACAGGCCTGCTACTCCATGGAGGAGAATGCGGCGGGCAGGCAAAGGCCATGAGGGAATTGAACGGAAGGGAAGGGGATGCAAGGCTCCTGTGTTCTCTGCTATTACTCAACCCCAGGACCTCCAGGATCCTCAGGGCTGCTGGTCTAACAAGGCACTGCCCGTGTTTGCCTACTTGGATGCTACCAGTTCCACATTTCTGCACAGCAATCACGCAAAGAACAGCAGTAATCATAGCAGGGGCAGGAGCAACCACTGACGTTTAGAGCACATACTATTTTAAGCACTCCTCTAAAACTTGATGTGTATTAGCTAAAGCCCAGAACTCTGTGAGGGAGACTCTGTTACAATCTCCACTCTGCAAATGGAATCTGAAATGCCACCCAACCCAGAGCACTGGGCTCCCCACTGGTCCAAAGCCCTGCCTACTTCTACTCTGCTTCATGTGCAAGGACAGGCCAGTTAAACCAGACTCTTATAAGAGGGGTGATACTCAAATTGCTTAAGAGTGGTTTCAGCATGGACCTGACCTCTCAGGAAAAACAATGACCAATCAGGATTGAAGGGGCACCACGGTAAACAGTATGTACGGCTGAACTACATTCCCTGATTATCAGCCCTGCCGGGGCTGTTTCCTGCCCACTAGGTGCACACACACACACACACATACACGCGTAGGGAAAGAGAGAACAGACACATCTGCAGAAGAGAACTAGTCAGTTCCCAAGATAGGTGATACTGGATCTATCATTAAATCTTCAATATTACAAACTGGTTCTTACCATCTCATCTCATCTTTATTACACATTGAAGAAATCTTTTTGGAACTACAAAGTGCAATGAACAATATGTGGCTGCAACCATGACTGCTGATCTTTGCCCCAGTTAAATGCGCAATGAGGACTGAAAGCACAGGCAGCCGACCCGCTTTCATAAAAAGGAAGGCGTGAATAGGC